TTTATTTTATATTAAAGTGATAATTAGCAATAAAGAACACAGAATCCCCAGTTCTCTAAGGGACCTACTACACACAGCTCTTTGGCCTCACTGACAGGAAGTGTAAAGGAACTTTACTCCCAGATTTAACACCCACATTCCCTCAATCCCGAGTTCCTTGTTCAGAAACCCCTGAGAAGTGTACCGAAAAGTGGTGCTTGGGAGAAGAGCAATGAGGAAAGAGGAAAAGCCATCCTTTCAAAGCTGAGATGGTGAAACGACGCTATCTCTTCTGTAAGGACCTCTTGGTGCTCATATGATCATGCGTGGGAAGGATAGACCTGAATAAATTCTGACAAATAGGGATTTGGACTTTTTAATTAGGTTTATTTATCTATGCTTATAACCTATTCTTATTCTTCATAAGTATTTTATTATATTAAATAAAATTGCAATGAGGTTTTGTATGAATTTCTAATATTTTAAATCCAATTTCTCACTGTGTGTGAACGAATGATAGGACTGCCCATCAGGTGTCAAGGTAAAAGGGATGGGCGATTTTCCATGATAAATTAGGGGACAACCCTCAATATGCGGGAGAGCTTTGGCTAAAGATTAGTCTTCGAGCAAATTACTTAATACTGGAGTTTTCAAATATTAAATGATATGTGAGGGAAGATTATGGTTGTCTTCTACTTCCTGCATAGCCTCCGCTCTTAATTATGCATGCAATGAAGGCCTCTATGATGTTCGGACTATAACATGGAACTATGTAAACTTGAAGGCACAGTTCACGATAATTTTGAGGCACCCGTTTTTATTCGAAAAGCGTAAGTATAGATTGGGAACAGTTCATCGGTAGGGAAGAAAGCAAGAGAATTAGCCGATTTCGAGAAAAATATGGCTCCTCAAAAGTAGGGAAAATAGAGGTTGGACGGATTGCCATGACGGAAATGACATGGAAGGGGTATTTAGACGAGATCTCAGTTATTGCAATTGCACAAGGAGCTGACTACATCAAGCCGGAACTGTACAGAACTGTCTTTCATTGTCGTTATGGGTCATGACAAGTTGTTTGTACTTCCTACATGGGTTCCCTTGTGGTTGGTGCAGCCTTTATAATGCCGATGAAACTCGTCCGAAAATACACACGGGCCAATTTTTGAGCCTTTATAACTCAGTAACTAGGCTGTTTTCCCACCTAAGAGTACCAGACATAGTATACGCAGGAGCCTCAAATTCATCCTGTGGGGAATCCTACAAACCATTTTTTATCGTGTGCTGTGCCTTCAATCGCAACAGCAGAACTGAATCGGCTGGTCGAACAGCTCCAAAAAGAAACGGCCCAATGGTCCATCGATTGTTGCCACGAGGCAGAAGGACTTGATGTCTTGAAATCGCTATCGGAGGCTTTTTCCCTAACATTGAGTGGCTATTCGTGAATTTATGGATGACATTGATGTGATTTCGACTTTTTCAGAGCCTCGAAATGGGCCGAGCAGATGCGCTCGAACCACTGCGTGGCGACTGGAATCGGGACAAGTTCAGGTTTGTTTTTTCAAAAAGGAAATTTCATCAACATGGAAAATGATATTCCGGAGGAATAGTTACATCTTCAGCTCTGATTTGTACTTCTTTCGTAAACTTCGTGCTCGTGTTGAGAAAAAACTGATGCTAGGAAGCTAAAGTGAAGCTGAAAATACCAAATGTTGAGTATCCAGTGGTAATGGCTTTTGTGGGCTACTTATAATTTGATTAATGTCTGGGACATAAAGAGAACTTGATCTGGTAGCCCGGAAATCACGGAGTCTGCGATGTCGAGCTTGGCGCAGGTTTTCTAGGGTTAGCACATCCCGCCAGTAGTTACCCAGAGTCTATTACAGGATTACCAAGCTGGCCATGCCTCAGTAGACATGTGGCTTCTTGTGTAAAAGGAAATGCACCCGATGTTTTGGTAAATGCGGAGTTGGAGTACGCGTGTAGGAATGCCCGCTCGCTATGATTTTGGACATAGTCGAAGGTACCGCGTTGACTATGCTAGTTGCACCTGCCACGGTGAAATACGCGGTCCTAGTTTCTGATGGAATTCCGACCCGCTTGCACGATTCCATGCAGGNATGCTCGTTGCATTTGCCACGGTGGAATACAGGTCCTTGTTTCTGATGGAATTCCACCTCCCTTGCACGGTTCCATGCAGGCGTGTCATCTCAGAAATTTCCAAAAAAAAGGTTTTTCCGGTAACTTGGAGACTCTGCCTTCCTAGTATGATCGTGTAGATTTTCGACGATTCGATTCTACTCCTAATTAATGTCGTCGATAACAGTATGTCCGCTAGAGAAGTAAAAGGATCCCAATTCATTACTGGTTTGGGTTTTCGTTTCCTGAACACTGCAGCTCTCCTCCCACGTAATGAAAAACAGGATCCGGCTTCTAAGTATCGTTAATCCGGCCCTGTGTTGTACACCGGCCTAAAAGGCGCGGGAAGCCAGCTAACCCTCGAATTCAGGAAGGTCTTGTCTGTCTCATTATGAAGCTTTACGCTATTCGACTGCTATCTGCTTGTAATTTCGGAGCAACACCAAAAAAGGTAGAGCTTGCAATTGTCGGGAGGATTTCGTCTTCTTTGGGCGGGGTGGTGTAGTGGCAAGTGGCGCACTATCTCACACACACGGTCAGTGGTTCGAATCCCGGATCGGTGCCCGCCTAGGTTAACCAAGCCTTCCATCCCTCTGGGGTCGGTGAATTGGTACCAGACTCGTTTGGGAGGATAAAAGCACTGACTTGTACATCTGCTGACCACCGCAAGCCATTGTATAGGCCACATACGCATTCAATACGCCACTACGATCTGAATGGAAGTCGAGTGTGGGGGCGCATCCCTCAGACGGGATTGATCAACGCCAAAAACTTTATCCTTTATCCTTTATTAGCTAGCTTCGACAATATAAAATTTGTCATTTTCTGAAATAGGAGCATTCGTTCCTCCCCCAGGAAAGTATGGGAGAGCGATAGAGCAAGCAGATGAATAACTCTCTGATTTAGCTACTGGGCTGTTGTTGTTTTGACAAATTTTGTTTTCATCTCAAATGCTCATTTGCATATTCTCGCAATCCGATATAAGGCTTCAACGAGTTCCTTTACCCCGGAATATCATTTAAAAAAAGTCGGAATGGTCGAAGATTTGGAAGCGCTCCCACTTGTGTTCCTACATAACACCAATGACATCATAGTACTTACAAATCAGTATAATGTTTGGGTCGATAATGTAGTGTGACATTACTTTTCTAGACTTATGTCAGATTTCTATAAGCACAACGACGACGTAGACATCCGGCATATAAAATTTGATCGTATTAGAGCTAATAAAGAGGTTTTTCTCCTCGTCGACAAATAAGCTCTCGTACGAGATTCGCCTCGTTCATAACTTAGCAATATCATGACAATAATATCGAGCTCATGGGGAGAAAGAGCTTCGTTTTTCGCCAAAATTCTCCATGGTGAGTGAAGGTATGTACTGGGAAGTCTTCCTTCACCGGCCTAAATGGGGAACCAGTGATGTCTACATTATACTTCAGTAATTCACTAGAAAAGAGACGTCCGCTCATAGCTTTTAATCGGCTCCACCTCTTTTCGAGCTCTTACTGCGCCCTATTCAGGCCTTTTTCTGTCCCGACGTCGTCCCAGTCCGGAATCGGAGGGGTATTACTTCAGATTCCTCCAATGGGAATCATGGAGACAACTTTTGTCGCGGACTGTGCTCTCAAACACATGGATAACCTATACTTAGCAACAAAAATCGTAGAAGACGAAGTTATAATACCATTGTCATTCATCTATATACAGGGAAATTACCGCCAATACGTATACTGTCAATCTGTAAAGCTGGCTCATCTGAGGCTCCCTAGTCATTACCCACACTGAACCACGTTCAGATCAATCAAGCCTCCCAAGTTGCGTATTCGCCTGTTGACGTTTGACTGAAACCTTGGCTCTTGTCACTTGAGAGTTCACGTGCATTCGAAGTATACATCCACAAATTCGGAGGGTTTCTGAGTTCACGGAGTTTACAAAAGAGGAATGACTGGTTTCCAACGCTGCGTGGTTTTGTTTATTTTCTTTTTGTGTCGAGAAAACAGAGGGAGCGCTGTAGGTGCGGCCCTTAATGCATTTAAAAGGGCGATCGACGTATGATGAGAGTAGGATGTAGAAGAAGGGGGTTATTCGTTTGTGACAAGTGACCGAATATCATTACTGGATGACCATTATGCAAGGAGGAAGCTGTTAGTAGGCAGAACGAGGAGACTCACCCCTCGCTTCTGATATCATAGCCAACAGGACGGAATGCTACCTGGAATTTTCTTGAAGGAAATCAAGACCCGACTACCCAGATATCTTTTTTGAAGAATTAGAATGTGGCCAGCTGCCTACGATGGCATTCTCAAGGCAGTCTATAGATTACCCTACCCTATAACACCCTACATCCTAGTACCCTATAACATGGAAAACGATTTAGTTATTCTAAAGCACATCATCAGTGGCATAGTGCAATGTATCACTATCAAGTACGCATGATCGGGAGATCGATATCCGCTTGAGCCAACCAAGCTTTACTTCCTCCAGGGTCGCTTAATTGGTACCAGACTCATCAGAGAGGATAGAAGCATTGTTTTGTACATAGGATAGCCGACACAACCATTGCACGCAGCACACACGCATTAAATCCACTACGATTCTAAATGGAACTTTAGTTCGGGGAAGCATCCTGAAACGGTAATGATCTCCACGAAGAAGTTCAACCTCTACCTTCCAAGTACACTAACTTCCCCTACCGTTTTTTATGGACTATTTTTACGTTAAGGAGGGGCCATGTCAAAAGACACTCTTACTTCAGTCTGAATGCATAGGGCATTCCGGAATCAAGACAATCCCAGATTTTTCTAAATGTTGGTTTTGCTGATCGTTACGAAAGCGTTCTGTATTCGATTTCTTCCAGCCAAGAAGTCCTGGATGCTCTGGATGAGATGGCCGATGACGAATCGCTACTGCTCGAGGCATGTCGACAGGATTCCCTCTATCCGATTTACTTTGAACATATCAATGCCGGTCGAATGCAGGTGACTTCTAATCCTTTACTCTTCGGTCCCTTCATGGTACTGTAACTGATTGTCTGACATAATTCTCAAAGCCGAGTCAACGAAGATCATGGGAGGGTCTGTAATTTCTCCGTTGATAACTCCCTATTCTTCCTGCTGACAAACATGAGACAACAGGCTGAATCCTTGGGTGTGGTGCAGTAGGAGCGAACTTGTCGCGTCGCGGCGAGAGAGACGCCGCGCGCGAAGGAATGTAGCAGAATGCAGCAGTAGGTGAGAGATACAGGAGCAAAAGAACTATCGGTAGAACGTGCCAAAATTAATAATCGCATAGCGATTGAGCTGTACGGAGAACGCTAAATTGCTGTGACGAGGCAAATGGTCCGCGACAGCCGCGTGTGGCGGATCGATTACACAAAACCGTTCCTACTGCCCGGCTCCCTGAATCTTTTAGAAGTGAAGACCATACAGATGCTCTCTCTTCTGCCATTTGGTCATCATTTTATATGCCTTTAGAGGCCATTTGTCTGAAGATGTTCATCTCATCGTTTGACGGGATGACTTTATGAATCTAAATTGAAAGGTAATGGCAATTTCAGTTCGCGTTGCTCTTCCTACTGGCCCTGTGCGTGGCGCAAACGATGTTGACGGTTCTGCTTCAGGAATGGATTCTTCTTATATTTCTTGCTGTAGTCGATGTAAGTACAACAAAAACTTTACGGAACTGACTATTTCAACTGATGGCCATAACAAATGACATGGTTTTCGGTGATGATCTAGGGAAAGGGTCTGACACAATAAAAAACTAAGGGACGAAAGCGGACCCATTTTCAGGAAATGCCAGTAGGAATTAATTTGGGAAAGACCTTTTTGGGACTGGTTTTACACCTAAATTCATTTTCCGTATTCCATAAGTAGAAACTCATTATTCCGGGTAAGATATAGAAATGACACGACTGCACGACTTTCTCGAAACCTTGATAACGCCATGCTTTCGTCAACCTCTTTACAAAAATTCAAGATACTAGAAAAAATTGTGTAAACAAAACTTTTTTACAGCTATTCATACTTGGTTGGGTGATATTTCATAAAGGCAACTCAATAGTGCTGTCATCTGTCGTTATTTTATGTTCAGTGGTGAGTAATATATAACTCTTGAACGTCATTTGAACTTTATGTGATTTCTTGAATGTCCTGGCTTTTTGCCAGCCACATCCAAGCGTAAATAGCCTGTCCTAAACGGATCCCCCTTGCTATTCAAATCGTTTTCTTTCCAATCTGCCCAAAATAAAAAAATTGGGGATAAGATCGTTTGGTATAGATCGCTCCCATTTGAGGTGCTCTCCCTCATCCGCCTCCCATTCAGAATCGTAATGGCGTCATAGTGGTATGGGATGACATTAGAATCCAGAAAGAGAAATATGAAACATACAAATATTAAAATTAGTTGAAGGATTAACTCTTTGTTAGTTGTTCAATACTGTCTGAGGGGCGCGCCCTGCATTCGACTTCCATTCAGAATTGTAGTAGCGTATTGAATGAGTATGTGGCCCATGCAATGTCTTGCAGTGGACAACCGACATACAAGTCAGCGCTTTTGTTGTCCCAAATGAGTCTGGTACCGGTTAACCGGCCCCGGATGAATGGAAAGCTTGTTTGGCCTCGATCCGGGATTCGAACCCCTGACAATGTATGTGTGGGTTAGTGTGCCATTCACTATTACACCACCTCCGCCCGAAACTAGTAATAACCCCAGCAATAGCAATAACGTTGAGTATTAATTAGACCAAAGTTAGCTTCGAAAAGAGTGTAAGATAAGGTTATTGTATCTAAGCAAGGAAAGAAAGTTTATCCGTTCAGAGTGGCTTCGGTCGCATCAGGCCTACGTTACATCATAGGCATAAAAAGACCTAAAAAAAGTCTAGTTGTTCCCCAACATTTATTTTCATTTCTTGATTTCCTTTTTTTTTGATGCGGAAGTGCTGTAGTGTCAATTGGGGCACTATTATGCATGGACCAGAATCAGATTCCGGATCGATACTCACCCGGCCCAATCAAATCTCCCGTTACCCCACAGACGACTAGCCGGTATCATATTCGTCTGAAAGGACATAAGCGCTATTTTGTCCATCGACCGACTACTGCAATTCATTGTGTAGGCCACATACGCATTCAAATGACCACTAAAATTTTGATTTGAGGTCCAACACGGGGCGCATCCCAAAAGGGGATTATTGTAGCCAAGAGACCTGAGGGCCTTACTATTTCAACTTTGTGACTTTTTGATGTTTCTGAATGAGTACAATATACTAAATTGGAAACGAGCCAGAATGATTTGTTTAGGTATTGCTTGCATGTGCCCCATACATTGTGCATTCATCGTTAACACTGTTAATACTGTTTCTTTGCTATACACTGCTACCTCTTCCTTTGATTCCTACAGTAAGTTTTTGAGAATTTTTTTTTATTTTTTTNGAATCGTAATGGCGTCATAGTGGTATGGGATGACATTATTATAGAATCCAGAAAGAGAAATATGAAACATACAAATATTNTCAGATTCCGGATCGATACTCACCCGGCCCAATCAAATCTCCCGTTACCCCACAGACGACTAGCCGGTATCATATTCGTCTGAAAGGACATAAGCGCTATTTTGTCCATCGACCGACTACTGCAATTCATTGTGTAGGCCACATACGCATTCAAATGACCACTAAAATTTTGATTTG